TGAATAATAATTTCAATATAAATTATGTAGAATCTAAAACCACCCACAGTCACATTATAGAACATATTGCCTTGATTTCTACGAATTGGTCGTAACGTGAACGATGATATAATCTGTAGTAGTTGGTATGTTGTTAGCTAACAAGGGACCAGGATGGTGTCTCCATTGAAAATCACGGTAACTATTATCGACGAACAAAGCTGTAGGTACTGCAATCTGCGTAATCGCTAGACACAGAGAGCATGTTCTCTTGTATGTCGATTATTCGATGAATACAGTACCGATCGATTAATTTCCTGGCATAAACGTACTCCTAATAGCTTGAGTAGCGACTGAATATTTACATATGTATACAAATAAATTTTATTCTTTTTTCGTTGGCGGTCACCCATCTTAACACTAGTCGCGAGGAATGCAGCTTGACTTGAAAAGTTACCGACGGAGTCACCCTAACCAGTCCGCATTTCTTCCCGGATAAAAAAAACTACATTCTTATATTATTTAAAGCTAGAATAATTATAGTAAATTTCCTAGTCATTTGACATAAAATAGTCACCTCGAAATAGTCACAACTGAATCGAAATGTTATACGATTGAATAAAAAAACCAGAATAAATTCAATTATGTAAGTAATGGAAAACTCAGCTTATGCAAACTTAGTAGTAATGTTACGAGCGATAGTGTAATTGACATAGCGTCAACTTTAAAATTACAAATTTAAAAATTCCAAGTATCGCTTACTTGCAAATGATCACAAAAAAAAAAAACAAACGAAAATACTGAAATAAACACTGAAGTGAAAATCATAATTTATCGTACAGAAGAAAAATGTATCAAGAGAAATAATTCAAACACGTATAGGCTATAATTTTTAATAAACTGTTCATCATACGAAACGAAGATAAACTTCTTTAATGTATTCCACAATTTTTTACGAAGAAGAATAAAGAAAAGAAAAAAGAAATGAGAAACGAAACGCGCAAGTTGAAATATCGTTCCCCAACAAGCTGCGCGTGTTCCCCAAGTGCTTCGCTCTTGCTGAAGCAAAGATTAAAGACATATTTCAATTCCTGCCAGGAGACACGCAAATTGCAACGATTCCTTATTCAATCGCGACTAAAGCGAAAGCCGTAACGGGTAAACGAATTATAAAGAGAAGTATTTCAATATTAGCGACGCTGAAAAGATCCTTATTCACTGTACAATTTCTCGCTGCTTTATGCTTCTACTATTCACTTCTTCTAATACGAGTAAATTGCGAAAGATATTGTTGTATCGAAACAAAAGTTTCGCCGTATAATCGTTGCCTTCTCTCGACATGAATGGTGAACTACGACGAAAGTTTCTTTAAGTTTACACGGTGTGTTCCATAACTGATGGTACAAAGAAGAAATAAATAAAAAATATACAATTGTAACAACCATCAACGAAGACGGCGACAAAAATTTCCATTCCGCGAGAGGAAGTGAGAGGGACGACTCTCTATCCTCGTCGTCAATCAAATAATCGCGAAGCGATAGAAGCTTCTGGAAGAAACTAGCTCGCGATCCGCGGTAGACTCGCGGTTTTACGCGGGAGACTCGCTGTTTTACGCGGGAGTCTCGCGGTTTCGCGCGGGAAACCACTTAGCGACGCGTCTTGTTGATAAGCCGCGCTTCATTAGCAACGCTCAAGTATAAATACCAGGGCCGCGGCCACAGCCAAGCATTCTTCCTGTACTCTGCTGGGAGAGAGGTCCCCCTTCAGAGTGGGAGAGTACGAAGCCTAGCTTTCGGACGCCCTTACAGCACAGGAGAGTACGGGGACTGACACCTGGGTCACTCTCTGGAGGAGAGAACGGCTGGACTATCCGCCGGTCGCCTCTGAGAGAGGAGAGTACCGGGAAGTTACCCGGACGCCTGAGGAAGCTCGGAGAGGATTGCTTAGTACTTCTGGTGGTATGGAGAGAA